CGGGAGCCTTGTTTTTTGCCAGTGCCTTCAGTGCAGCTTGGACTTCTTCCCTCAATACAAGCGGTTCTTGATTATATGCTACCTCCTGAAATGGCTGAGCATCGACCAGTTCTTTTTGGTACAGTGACTCTGTGTATACCTTCCATCTTCTTTTGATGCTTCCTGCGTCCTTCAATATTTTGCCCATAGAATCCTTCAAAATTGCAACTCGAGGCTTAAATTGTTTCTTCAGTTCTTTCAGCTTGAGAAATGCTGAGTGTGTTCTTCCCTTTCAGTTTTCTAACTCCAGGTCTTTGCGCATGTCATTATAATACTTAACTTTGTCTTCCCAAGCCGCCCTTTGAAATCTTCTGTTCAGCTCTTTTACTTCATCATTTCTTCCGTTCGCTTTAGCCACTCTGCATTCAAGAGCAAGTTTCAGAGTCTCTTCTGACATCCATTTTGATCTTTTTTTCTTTTCTGTCTTTTTAATGATTTTTTGCTTTCTCAGTTTATGATGTCCTTGATGTCATTTCACAACTCCTCTGGTCTTCAGTCATTAGTGTTCACTGCAGCCAATCTACTCTTGAGATGGTCTCTAAATCCAGGTGGGATATACTGAAGGTCGTACTTTGGCTCTCATGGACTTGTTTTAATTTTCTTCAGCTTCAACTTAAACTTGCGTATGAGCCATTGATGGTCTGTTCTGCAGTCAGCCCTGGCCTTGTTCTGCCTGATAATTTTGAGCTTCTCCATCATCTCTTTCCACAGATGTAGTCAATTTGATTCCTGTGTGTTCCATCTGGAGAGGTCCATGTGTACAATCGCCATTTATATTTGTGAAAAACATATTCGCAATGAAGTCATTGGTTTTTCAAAATTCTATCATGCAATCTCCAGCATCAGAGATCTCCAAGTACGAGTACAAGTTTGAAAATGAAATGAGAATAACTGAATGGCTTTTTTTGTAAGGAAGTATATGCTATATATGTCAGTTTAGTAAATGAAGAGGATTGTACACCTAACTACAAAACACACACCCAGAGTGTGAATAACAAAAATGGCAGTTGGGAAAACAACCTTTTCATATTGCTAATGATTAGGCATTTTCAAATTTAGTACCTCTTTTCTTATTTCTCTTCCGTTTTCTGCTTCCTTCCCACTCATTTCTCATACTGTTCCTCTATTTTGTCTATTCTATCTAATTTTCATTCCTCACCCCTATGTCTCTAACACATTAATACTCTACACGTTTTCACACACACACACTCAATTGTTTCCCACACTTCATGCTCAAAGCATGAAACCATCTCTCTAGGGTTCCTCTGATAGTGATGCCATCAGTTCACTAGACTAGTGGGTGGATTTCAAACTTTTTCCAAAATTTTGAAAAAAAAAATATATATATACAGATTCTGTGCCAGTTATCAGTTTGTCACCTCTCACCTCCAAACCTACCTTACTTGTCTGCTCTGCCAAAATGGAGCTAAGTGCTTTAAAAACTTGATGTTAAATTTTGTCATAGAAGATGAAGGAGAGAGACTGTAGAAGGAAAACTTTTTACTTCCTGGTTCAAGTATGGCTGCTCAACAGGCTCCTGCAGCACATGCAGCTTCCTTAGTTCCAGGCACCTGCAGCTTGGGTAGCTTCTCCAGCGCTAGGGTCCTGCAGTATATGCAGCTTCTCCAGTACCTGGTTCCTGCAGCACAGCTTCTCCAGCATCCAGCCTCTGTCGAGTACACTGCTTCTCCAGTGCCCAGCTCCTGCAGTGCAGACAGCTTTTCCAGTGTCCAGCTCCTGCAACATGGGCAACTTCTCCAGTGTCCAGCTCCTACCGTGCAGACAGCCTCTCCAGTGTCCAGCTCCTGCAATGCAGACAGCCTCTCCAGTGTCCAGCTCCTGCAGTGCAGACAAGCTTCTCCAGTGCCCAGCTCCTGCAGTGCAGACAGCTTCTCCAGTGTCCAGTTCCTGCAGTGCAGGCAGCTTCTCCAGTGTCCACCTCCTGCAGTGCAGACAAGCTTCTCCAGGTCCAGCTCCTGCAGTAGAGACCGCTTCTCCAGTGCCCAGCTCCTGCAGTGCAGACAGCTTCTTCAGTGTCCAGCTCCTGAAACATGGGTAGTTTCTCTGGTGTCCAGCTCCTACAGTTGGAGGAGCTTCTCTACAGTGCCAGGCTCCTGTAGCCCTGGAGCATCAGCTTCTCCAGTGCCAGGATCCTGTAACGCACAGAGATCAGCAGCACCTGGTGACCAGAAGCTTCCTCCAGTACTCCCCTGGGGTGGCTTTGTAGCAGAGTGCCTACAGTGAGACGTTTATCTGTGAACAGTCTTCCCCAGCACTTCAGAGAGCAGATTTCCAGATTCTAGAAGGCGTATTTCCAGAGAAACGCAGGGGTCAGATTTTCAACAAGTTCCAACATTTTGGCACCACAGTGACTTTCTATTGTTTAGTGAGCTACAGTTGTGCCCTTTCCAACAAGGTCTATATCCCAGCCCTGAGGGCAGAGTGAGGAGGGATTCTTTCTTGGGCTAGCTCCTTATATCTGCTGTTTCTATATTCTTCAGAATTTCTCTTTACTTCTTGCTAGTCAATACCTCATTACCAAAATACCATTATAGTTGGTAATTCTTTATATTAAATTTTCCTGTTCAAATTATTGTGCGGTTTCTATATCCTGATTGTGTGCTGACTGATACATACTCTCTCACATATTTCAAATTAACAGCTAAAATTTCTTATCAAAAATTTAAATAATTGCAAAAGAGGAATATTCTGGTGTTCTGCATATTGTATACATACTTAAAATATATTTTTGTCAAAACCTTGGAGCTACATATTTAGATCATTTAATGAATGAATAAGTCACCATATAACCTAATTTGCAAAGTCAGTTTTCACTGTCAAATAAATCAATCAATTCAGACTTATTCAATGCCAAGAAAAGGATTTTTTAATTCAAATAAACATTATGGTACATGTTCTCATGGCATCCTTCTCACCTAGGTAAGTAGAAAAGACAGAGAGACAGACAGCAGACGGAGAGGCAGATAGACAAGATTCCAGCCAAGAGCCTTGCCAAGATGAAACAGTATTTCAATATTTTTTTGCCAGTGCTTTTTTGCCTTACTTTTATGGGTCTCTGCTTCAGAAGCAATGCCTCCCCAAGCTATCATTTGTTTGATGTCCTGAAGATTTTACCCAAAAGCAATAAATCACAGTAAGATATGCAAAGGGTGAAAGGTATAACATCTTTTGTCAAGTAGGGGAAGAGCAATTACAAAAGAGGAGTTGGGAAAGAAGCAGCAGCAGACCACAGACTCTTTCCCGGACATCTCAATTTCAGAATGTACTTACAAACATTAGGGATCAGAAAACTGATTCCCTCAAAACTGTCCATGCCTTGTGTCCCTAGAAAGTCTTTGTGGACTCCCAAGGTGTAAGTTCTCCAGCGTGAAGACACCTGGAGTAGGGACTTACTGCCCTCCCCCTTCCCCCAAAACAAACCAAGTAAAGAGAAGAAAACAATTAAAAAAAAAAAAAACAGAATAAAAATATTAGATCATATTCCTTAAAAACTCAGAAAATAAAAACCTTCCTTGCAAGAATACTAAAAGAAATAGAGGCAATATCACATCAAATGTGAAATCTAACTTCCCACCAGTACCTATGTTTGGATAACGGTCCTGCTTTTAGGATGTGTGACTCAAAATCTCACATGGGTTAAATCCTTCATTTACAGTGGTTCTGTTTCTTATTTAAAACAGTAAGTTTCCCTTAGATCCACTACTGGACTGAATCACATGATGTGGAAAGAGATGGAGAATCTTAAACAAAAAGCAAAGAGGATGTGGCCAATTTTTACCATTTGGGATATTAACAAGTTTAACATGGCTCAGCAACTATCTTAAGTGTTATATTATATCAACTATTATGACACAAGCTAAAGGTGTTGAAATATAAGGATGTGTGTTTTCTAAGAGGAAATGAGTGACAATTTGAAGGGTCGGTGTTTAACATGAAGAGTAAATACATACGAATTCAGAACAGATTCTCAACTAACACTAATGTGCAATAAGGTTTGTGCAATTTAAGAAAGGTTTTTAAACTTTTTAAAATTCTTTTCAAGGAAACTACTGCTTCCTGTTATTTCTGGAAAATCTATAAATGCTAGTGTTTTAAAAGGGAAACATTCATGGAGAGATATTAAATGTGTTTTACAAGCTACAAGTACCAGATTCTTGTTTATTCATTTTCCCTAAGAAACTCTGTAATTCTGTTTTATATAAGTGACATTTACTCTCAGTTAAGGTTTCTGTCTTTTTATTCCCCCAAATCAAGATCCCCATGAAAGTCTGGGGCTTATAGAATTTTCCCACCTAAGCTAAATAAATTTTTGGTAAAGATTTTCCTTTCTTAAGATCCATAATCTCCAGAATACATTGTCTGAATTAACTATTTTGTTGCCCGTTTTGCAGTAAACTATTAGGATCTTTAAAACAAACATTATTGATGAATGCAAAAACTGTTAACTTCATATTAAATAATTTTCTTTCATATGCCTAAGTATCTGTTATAATTCCCACATTACTTTTGGTAAAGATATTGCCCTTCATTGCAGAAGTAAAAACAATCTATTTGGTGGATATTATTCCATCTCAAGACTATACGTTAAGAACTTTCATTACGGCCTAGTAAATAATTTTAGGTCCATCACTTACAGATAAATAAATAAATAAACTATGCCAACAATTTCTATGCTCACCAAAATGTCTCTCACAGCTCTGACAAGTGTCATGGCTATTGAGATGAACAAGTTAATGTTGGGTACTTTAAAGATCCAAATAGTGCAAAATCAATCTATCAAAAGGGTCATTTATCATGAAAGTCAAGAATTACTCTTATTTTGTGGGGGAAAAACAGAAATAAAAAAATTTAGTAATGAGAAGATTCTAACGTGAAGAAGCAATAACTCGTTTGTCACTGTCCTATAATATAGCCACACCACAGGTTTCTAACACACTTACTTGAACAATGGCGTTCCACAAACAATGCATTTATATATCCCAGGATCTTTGTGATGTATGTATTCTCCTTCGAAGGCACTGATAAACAATAAACAGGCCATGAAAAAAATTAACATTAGTATTATTTCTTATAGAACGTATTTGCTTAAACTGTATTTCTTTAATAAATCCTTCAAGGGTTTTTTGTCCTAAAATGAGAACAGACCAAACATATGGAAATCAAAACATAACTTATATATTCCAAATCTATATAATAAAATGTGCAAATAACTACTGCAAACCAGTGCAGGTTAAATAAAAAATCAAGCCATCTAGTAACGTAATGCTTAGGAAAAAAATTTCTCTATTTACAAAAATGCCTCTAGTTTAGATTTGCCAAAAGAACATTATTACATAAGATTTCTGCTACTCTATAGAATCCAAGGGGGTATACAAGAAAATGCAGAGGGTTCCGAGACTTCAAGTGGAAGAAGTCTTATTTTTTGGTTTGAAAAGGAATATTGCAGCTTTAAGGGAATATTTTTCTAAGTTAACAATCTTAAAGGCTAGGAGGTCATTCAGCTAATACAAATCAGCTGTGCTAGCCCAACAAAAAGTCTATGTGCTCTGCAGCTTGTTTTTATTATCCTTTCACCCTCTTTATGCGATCCAATTTTTTTATAAACAGAATTTTTAAGAATGACCTAATCTCTGGTTGTTTGTGTGCATTAAATCATTTTGCTGGTCATGTACATAACAGGACAAGTAGAGGTCCTCCTGAGCTGAGACTGAAGTCCACCACCAGCTCGTTGTGTGGTGAGGGCAGATTTTGTCAGAGATGCAACATTTGGTAAATTCAGTAAACAGTATATACTATGACAGGAAGAGAGTGTGGCCTATTAACAAGGACCCCATGTGTGGTAAAGAGTTCTTTCAGTTCATGAATGAAAACAAGGAGTTACATCATTAATAAATTTGGATCAGAGGTAAGTTACAGCCTTGTGCCAAGCTCCATGGTATAAATTAGACAACAAAATGGCTGGACCTTGGCGAGTTACCTCTGAGCTGGAATCAGCTGAGAGAGACTTTATTCACTAACAACAGTCTTGGAAGGGAACAAACTCTTTTTTCAGGACTTAAGATGAACTTCCAAGGACTAAACCCATGTGAGGGCAGTTATTGAAAATTTTTGACATTCCAACCACAAATGAGCCAATAAATACTTTCTCCACATGTGCTTCAAAAAGAAATTGGAGTGGGGTAGAAAGGAACTAAACTATGCTACCTTCTTTTTGCAGCCAAAACATCTATCCTTACAATGGCCACCTTCAAAATTTCAGCATCCTGGCACAGCGCCATGTCCCTCATGGTTTTGCTTACTGTGATGTCTTCCCAAAAAATGTACCTAAATCACTATTACTTCCACACATTTTGTAGTAAACTAAAAAACAGACCCTTAACAAAAGCCCTATGACTTTACATAAGATAGAATGTTCATTAAATGGGGAAAAGGATAAATAAAACTTAGTGTTGGCCTAAACAATGCCATTTTCAGTCTTTTCAAGGATATTAATTTGTAGACTTTAGCAAATAAATGTAGAAGTCTTTCAATTAATTGGCAAGAAAGAGGATTCAAAGGGGTGGTGGTGGTGAAGAAGACTAGCTCTTGTTTAATGACTTTTTCTTACAGTTCACCTTACCTTTCGGTCCCTTTCTCCTGAGTGACATGGTACTGCAGGGGTGTGAGCCGCTTCCTCAGTTCCTGCTGGGAAAAGACCACCTTACAGTTCTTTTTATCCCTACATGACCCTGAAAAGAGAGGATATGGGAGAAGGAGACTTTTTAGCTTGAATCCTGAATAACTGCTTTGGCTTGAGGCCACCACACAGCTTCTGCATTCACTTGTCAATGACCAGACCAGTCCCTAAGGCACTAGAATAGCTTACCTGAACTGCAGCTATTTCTCTAAGTTTAAAAAGAATGTTTCTTATGACCCAGGTGATTCCACTGGAGCAGTGACAATGTGCTACAGCCAAAGCTTCTAGCATGTGATACCAAAAACTCACAAAATGGTGGTAGTCCTTTGTGTCTCCCAATACCTGAAATTCTTTCTTTCAAATGAATTCAATAAGCATAACTCTATCTACAAGCACACACATTTATACATACACACACATTTACACATATATACACGTGTATGTGTGTGTGTATATGTGTATGTGTGTGTGTGTATATACAACTATAGGCATATGATGTTAAACCATAACTCTCCATTCAATAATTTTGCAACTTGGTAGAATAGTTTGAAACCTACATCATTCAATTTCCATTCTGGGTGATTTAACTACCATCCTATGTATTCTTCTTTGCACCCTAAAAATGTATTTTCCCACCACTAGGAATTGTTGTTCTCTGTGATTCTGTCAGACACTTCACTAGGTTATACAGAATTCCTAAAAACAAATCTCTTTAAAGACTATATCTTACCATGTAAACCACGCAGCAAAGTTAAGAGAACTAAGCTATCCATCTGTATGTCATTTAGTACAAGAGAAGCAACTGCAGGTTTAAATTACATGGTATTGGATTCCAATTTCCTAACATTGGATGCTTTTCTGCTTTTTTACCTTGAGTCATTTAGACTATACAAGAAGACATTTCCAATAATGCAGATTCAAGAAGTTCAAAAAAAAAAAAAGGGTGAGAAAAATAGGGAAGGGGGGGACAAAGAGAAGAGGAAAAGTGGATGTGATTTTATTTAGAGACCTACATTTTTTTTTTCCAAAATATATCTAGGAAGGCTTCGCTGATTAAGTATATTTGAATGGTGAAATAATTTTAATGTGGTTCTAATAACAAAGGCAGCTTTTATTTCAACCTACGCAGACTGCAGTAAAATGTTCAGACAACACCTGTTTATATATAGTATTTTATTTTTCCTGCGCAAATGATTGAAAAGAAATGTAACTCTGGGGCAGCGCAACCATTATTCACTGCAGTGAAATTGCTTTTCTTTGCCATCCATCACACTGGGAAAGAGACTTGCAGATGGTCCTAAATGAAAAGATTTCTTACCATGTTCTGAAGTAACTAAAAGAAAGCTTGCTTAGTTTCCTGAATATTAAACTCGACTTCTTTTGAAATCTAAATAAATACGATTTACGAGTGGAAAACGCTTTCTATTTCTTTACTTTCAAGGTACCTAATGTCATAGTATGTGAGACCACTGAAATTAAACTAGGAAAAAAATTAACCAGTTACTCTGATTGTGAGATTAAAGGAAGATGTCAGCTTCCAGGGCCACCAAGAGAGAGTGGTTGATTCTCTATAAGAAAATATGGAGGCAGCAGCAAAAGAGCATACCAGAGCCTAGCAGACATGCACACCTTCGAGTCGGCCTGCGGGCTGTCAAACAGCGCCTCTACTGACTTTCTACCCGACACCTTGGCCCAGATTTGGCCTGGAAAAATCCACAAGAACAGCTGACACATCACTAGTAGTGTGCTGGTCTCTCATCTCACTGGATCCCATATTACACTAGGCTTTATCCAAATACCTACTACTTATATTTTTAATATTGTCAAAGGAGTAGATGAAAATGTTCACTGTCAGAACCAACCTTTCAACAGCTTAAATACAACCCTGCTGTTTCTTATGTAATAAGTTGACTGATAAGTTTTTACTCAATTCACTACAGACTTCTTAGAAATTATAAAATTGTTTTTATTTGTCAGAGGGTTTTATCTTTGTTAATTTTGTCAACGAAATTTATTACTTGCAAATTTAATGTGACAAAATATCTTGGTTAAAATTAGTCTTTCCAATGGCATAGATAATTAAAATCGGTACAATTATTCTGTCCAAGATATTTTTGTTAATATATGTTCATTCATACAAAAAGACCAATTGTGTTCCCAAAGTTGAGAGAACTAAGCTACCCATCTGTATGTCATTTAGAACAAGAGAAGCAACTGCAGGTTTAAATTATATGGTATTGGATTGCAATTTCCTAACATTGGATGCTTTTCTGCTTTTTTTACCTTGAGTCATTTACTAAACAGTGTTCATAAAAGTAGCTTAAAGCACAGATGCTTGCAAATCGTTTAGGCAAAGATATTTCTCTCTGTTTCATTCTCTCTCTCTCAAAATCTCTCTTTTTTGAAGAAAAAGAATAAAACTGTTGGTCAGTATTGGTGAACCATGTCAAGTATTTGTGCAAGGAAAAAAGGTAAAATTGAAAACATCTGATTGAAGTAAATAATACAAACATAAAAGCTTTACTGGTGAATGAAGGGTATTGAAGAGACTTTATTTCATAGATTAGAAATTACTTTTGATCTAAACATTCTTAAAAACAGATTGTTTTCCACTATGAACCATCTCATTAACTATGCAACAGAGACCTCACTTTAACGGGCGAGCTTTGAAAGAGTGCCGCTGTACTCCTTTGTTAGTCTCCATCTTATTTGGGAGGGGGATAAAGATTTCATTCCGGCTTTCTTTGTTTGTCTTTCAAGAACCACTATAGCAGTATTCACACAAATTTTGTAGGAATGTGCCCTGTGTCATAGCCTACAAATTATTTGGTTTTGGTGCACTTACAGGTCACCTTCCAAATTAGCAAAATTTTCCTACATCCTGGCTTTTCAACCTTAAACATAAATATTGTTTCCTAACTGTAAGTGAAGTTTGTTCTTTAAGAAATTTTAGTGCTTATTTAAAGTTGTCAAACTTTGTACATTTTTATTCTTTGGCCACACTATGTTCTCATAATAATTAGGCTTTCAAGGTATACCTAAAAGCAAAAGGAAGTATATGTAGACCAGAAACAATTATTGTGATTTTATATTAAACAACTTAATGAGAAGTTAGTTGGATTTTAACAAATTTCTTGCCACATAGTTATACTTCTTAGACAACTGAAAGCTATACTGTTACATTAGCTCTTCTAGCATCATAACCAAAAACGGGTATATATAAACACAGAAAAGCTTCACTTGTGTCTGGTCTTCCTTCTTCCTATCAGATCACTTTTCTAAAGCCATAGGGTACCATTATTAATTCTGAAGAAATCATTTTATTCTGATATTCTAGACTAATTCATTGGATGGTTTCCCTTTACTATCTTCACTTAGGTAGTGTAATTTTCTTATTACACAGGGTAATTTAATATTAGTATTACATGACATCTGTTCAATGACCTCTAAATTGACTTAGAAGTATGCTAAGGAAAGGTTTTTTCCTTTATTTAAATGTTTAATATTGTACTTTGAAGGCACATGTGAGTGTGTGTATACACACACAACACACAGTATATTTAAGGGAGTAATACTGCCACTTGGGTATCTAATCATAACACCATTACCTACAGAGTAAAATTCGTACAGATCAGATCCATCTTGAGCCTATTCCAAAGGTATCTTTTACTAAAATATGCTCAAAGTCCCTTTTTACACTATGATTTGTTCCATGCTATTGCCCCAAGGCCAGTATTGTTTTAAAGCAGTAAGAACTGAAACAAACTAAAAGCAAGAGTTCACTGTCAGGGTCTGCCTGCTTCCTAGCTGTGTGACCTTAGGTAAGTCATCCTCTCTGACTATGTCTGTACTAGAACCCTCACAGATAGGCTGTAAAGATCACAGCAATCAGCACTTATCAAACACTGTCTGAATAAATGCAGTGTTACACTATCATTCCGATTATAGTCAATTCTGAAGTCAAACCATATTTTAAAAGGTAACAGGTCAAATATTTTAGTGTGCTACAATATTTTATTGATAATTATTTTTCTATTAGTTCCTTCAGAGTAGTATTTTCCTCACAAATTATATTTTCAAATGATTAAAATAGGAACTGAAGGAAGAAAACTGAAATTTGAGTGCCTTATATACCAGGCACATTTCAAGTTACTTTCGCATAATCTTCTTTAATCCTCCCAATAATTCTAGGAGGTATATATTATGCTCATTTTAAAGATTCAGAAACTGAGGCTCAGGTAGGTTTTAACATACTTTACCTAAGGATAAATGCAAATAGCTATATCAACTTTAAACCCAGGGCTGTTTGACTGCAAAGCCCAGGATCATTATAGTCTCTATGAAGAAAAATTTTGCTAAAACTTTCTTCTTAAATTATAACTTTCAGCTTAAAACTATTGCTAACAATTTAAGGTAATAAGGAAGAAAAATTAATAATCACCACCGTACATTTAGAATAGGAAATTCATTTGTCTATCAGCCAATGTCTCTGTTCCCTGTATTCATTCCTTCATCATAGGGTCAGTGACAAGGTTCAAACAGGATTCTCACAAAGTCTATAAAATGTTGAAAGGCTTTTTAACTTCCTGCTAAGAAGTAAATCAGATCTGTTACCTAAATCTTAGAGTACTTTTCAGTCATAAATCTCATATTTCAGTGTGAAAAATCAAAACAAAACAAAACCTAAAGATCCCATAACTTTAATTTTGGTTCTAAGGTCAGAAAAAATGTAACTATTAAATATTTTCCCAAGATAATAAATGAATAAGCGATGATGAGAATACCTTGTTTTGCTTCAAGTTTACTAGGTTAAAGCAGTAAAGTTCATCTTGAAATATCTGCTGCTATAGTTTAAAATAGTATACTTTAATTTTCACTGAATTTCAATTTTCAGGTGGTTATTAGTCTGTCATATTTGAAGGCATTTATAAAGCAAAACCTAGTCCATTTTTAGAACAGAATGGAAAATACATGAATCCTTTTTTTTGGGGGGAGGCAGGGGTTTCTAGTAATTCAACAAAGGTTTAAGGAAAAAACGCAAAGCACAGACGA